ACTTCTTTTTCCGAGAAAACTCCTGCAGGTATACACGTTTATTTTGAACAGGGCATAAATCAATATAATAAAAAGACCTATTTTAGAAGGAACATTACTTCATTATTGATTGTCTCATATATATGCACATCAAATGACAAAACTTCAATTTTAAGACTAACTTTTATCTTTTAAGTACACAGGTACTTTTTCTGTAATAATTTTTAAGCCATAGTTCAATATTACACAAGGTATCGAACTCCAAATTACATGGAGTAGATCCCTACCTATATCACAGTGCTTTGAGAGTAAACGCAATGGCAAAATTTAATTGTTTATGTCCATTCTCCTTTACGATAATTTATCTACAAAACTATACAGCAGTAAAATTAAGGTGCGCAATGAAAAAGTAGGCGATTTTATTGTGATGAAATATATATTCTTAATCAGGATGGCCATTCTCTTTAGTACACTGTAATTAATTGATAACAAGGACTTTAAAAAGTTAAATTCTTAAATTCATTTTATACATATTTTCAACATCCATATGATTGTAATTTGCAAAACTTTCTGCAATCCTGTATAGATTCTACTATAATTTAAGTAAATTTATCAAATCAAATTTATATTTTTAAGATAGCATCCTGAATCGTTTGCTGGTCAACTGCATCCGATATAGAAGTAATCAATTCAATTTCAGGATTTCAACATGATCAAAGCACTTTTCAAATAGCTTAAGGTATGTCACTCGCCAGCTTTTGAGAACAGTTTGGCCAAAACCTCTAACTTCAAAACTATTCATTACAATTCAATTTCTATAATATTCATGTATTTGAATTAAACAATGCAAATTAAACAATAATCAATTTAAAAACTGCTCACAAAATCGTAAAAAGAAGATTTATTTCTTGTGGTGGAAGAATATTTAGAAGAAAATTCTTCAAATCTACACATTTGTTTAATTAAATATCTTGGCGCTTTAGCTCTACAATTTTTTACTCAGAGGACTTTTTTCTTTATTATATGCTTGGAATATTAGAAATAGGAATATTAAAAATAGGTTTCGTCGCCCGCGTGGCGTAGTGGTGAGAGCGTTCGCTCTAGCTCTAGAGTCGCGGAGTAAGGAGTTAATCCTTACGTCGCGGGTTCAAATCCCACTGTGGGACAGGGATACCGGTCCTTCGGATGAGACCGTATAAACTGAGGTCCCATGGCACAGTAGGTGCTGGCACGAAAAAGATCCCTCACTGCTCGATGGCCCTGAGAGCCGAGTATAGGTAAAAAAAATTGCAGCTCTCCACCGGCAAGTGGTGGCGTCTCCATATGAGTGAAAATTCTCGAGAGGGATGTTAAACAATAAAAAAAACAAACAAACAAACATAAAAATAGGTTTCTATTAATATTTCCACAAAAAAATTTGCACTGTATTTGCACTGTGATTTTTTTTAAATGAAAATTGTATATTTTGACCAATATCGCAGAATTTAAATCACAAGCCCCAACTTTTTCTTTCATTATTTTAAACTACACGATACGTTCAACCAATCAACACTAAAGTCATGAAAAGCTTGCACAAGAAAATGTTTTATTTACTGTTAAGATTTTCAATACCCCAAATATGCTATTTTCTAGTGCAAAAAGATCACACAATAATAATTATTTATGTGCGTGAATTCGCAATTTTTTTTGCAATATTATTCAAATTATTTTACTTAAAATAAATTTTATCTCTTTCTGTTAAAATATAACAACAAGTATGCTTCCACAGACCAAAATGAATGTATGAGTGAGAAAGTGAGAGCGAATGGTGTGTCAGCAAGAAAAGAATTTAGTATTTCATTCTTTAATATGTTTGTATTTAGGCGAAAAAATAATTATCAAAGACCTAAATTTATTTTTTTTAAAAATGCCTTATTTATTTTATGTTTTATTCCAGTTGGCAGGTATTGTCCACAGTGGTCTACACAACAGTGGGGCAGCCGGCAAACTGGCACATCCCCCCAACATGAACAATTAAGTTGTGCCCTCCCTTACGGGAAAAGTAGCACACTGGGTTGACCTCAATCGTGCTACGGACATATTTCAACACAAATTATCTTTAATTATATTAATTATAATTAATTATATCAATTATATCATATAATTTTGCTTTAGATTTACTCTATATCAGATAAAATTATCGAAGTCAAGATCATTTATATCAACATCAACCATCACATATATGAACATCAACCAAAACAAGTCAAGAATATAAACAGTTCAATGGTTAAATTGAAGGTGACGATTTCGCCACATGGGCACACCGTGGACCCCTAGCCTACTCAAAACCCTCAGCACCTACCCACTGTGAATACCACATTCTCATTGTCTCCACTACCCACTGTATCTTTAATTAATGCAAGATTATATCAATTCTTTATCAGCCATCCCTGCTTTATTAAGATAATTGATCAGGTTTCCATACAAATTAAGTGTGCCTAACAACACCCCATCCCCTCCCTGGAATCTAGTACAAGTTATTGTTTATTCTGCTTTTGGTATTTTTATTACCCTGATATTTTTAGTAACACCAGGTTTCTTTTACTGAAGCTTGAATAAGAACTAAGCTAGTCTGGTGTAAGAAAATATGTAGATAATACCAATCTCTAATCCCATCAACCCTTTTCTTGTATTTTTATTTATTTGTTTATTCATTTATATATTTTATTCATTTATTTATTTTATTTTTAAAGTAATTTGGAGACTTCTAAACTACTTTCCAGCTAAGATTGCAAACAAGTAATCAACAAGCACAAATCCTCTTTAACCCCCCCCCCCCTTTTCCATCTACATATGGCTGCAGTTCCTGCATTGTTGACGATGTTGCAATGGCAAAATTTTAAGTGTTATCACATTCCCACTTTGTAATTAAATTGCAGAACAGATTAAGTGGTATCTATCTCCCTTCTATCTTTATTACCTAATCTGGAAAACCATTTTTGCTCAGCAGTAGCTGTGCTGGTTCTAAAGGAATGAGGTTATTCCACTTATTTTTGAAACCAAACTCTGCCAAAGCCTCTCCATTTAAAATTGATTAAAACATACTAATTATCTTCCAACCCAGGAGACTCAATGGAGGACGATGAAATGTTTCCAAAGTATTTGTATATGTATATGCACTGCACCAGACATGAAGTACCTATATGACTAAATTCTATATTCCAGACCCTTGCCCAGCTGATGCTCTCTCAAAATCTGCAACTTATCACCTTAAACTTCTAACTTCAGGAATACTGAAACTGTAACATAAATTCAGAATGGGTTACCATCATCTCTAACCCCAAGGGAAAAATATGGTAAAGACTAGGTTAGGGGAAAAAATGTGGACTTCAAATTTGTTTCAAGTTGTAAATGTGCATATGTGAAGGCCAGCATACAAATTAATTGTCCAAGTATGAGCTAGGGCAATGGCAACCTATCCTTTATTTAATACCCTAAAATACTGGGGAAGTTTTGCTAAAACGCAAATGAATCTTCAACTCCTTCAGATTTGCATTTGTACCCACCAGCTGATACATGGATGTAGACTATATATGCATTGACGATGCATCTGATTCACCTTTAACATTAATATATAAACATAAAGTACATTTATATTAATGCAATAAGTATTTTGATAGCCCAGTTACACATTAAATTGCTTATTTCTTTCCATAATCCTCTCATCACTAGAACACCATATCTTATCCTCCTTAAATGAATAAAAAGTCTGTAAAACAGTTTGTCGTGTGTTGCCACCTTTGTGACGTTTAATAATTTGTTTGAAATTCTCAAAAGTATTATTAACAATGGCATATAATTTTAGCAGACACAAAATATAAATATGAGAAATAAACCAATTTTGTAAAGGGAGATAATCCAAATTTCCAGTAATTACAACTTAGACTTAACAGAAAAATCATGAAAATGGGTCTGAAAACGCCACTGACTTTACCGCACTAGGGAAAGTTCAGATCCATGAAGAAAAATGGCAACACACATCAAACATTAATCATACCATTTCCCTAATCTGCACATTGCAATATTGGAATAAACATATGTCCAATAATGCAACAAAACACCGTCTGTTCATGAGACATATAGGTAAATGTATCGATCTATTACAATTCAGTTACATGTATAATAAAAAATTAATTTTTCTCGGGGTCTATGAGGGATAAACATATGCTCCATAATAACAAAGTCAGAAGATTACTGTTATAAGTGGATGCATTTCATATGCCCTTCTGAGTATTAACAAATGACTCAGGGACTGATGTGCCTGATAAGGATAAACATATGCCCCAATATTCACAAAGCATCACATTCCTCGCTGTCTTTTACAAAGTTCACACATGTGTAGACTTTTCATCTATCAGTTTGAAGTATCAATAATAGACTTAAGCAAAAATGTGCCAGGTGAGGGATAGACATATGCCCCCATATTAACAATACATCACACCATAAATTTCATCGCTGTCTTTTTTCAAAGTTTATATGTATGCAGTCTTGTCACCTACTAGCCTAAGTATTAACAAATGACTTAAGCACTATTGTTCTGGATGAGGGATAGTCGTATGCCCCCATAAGTTAATATTCGCGAAAATCACTTTGAAATCAAGATCCTCAATGAGTAACAAAAGATCTGCCCCAAGGCTCCATTTCCACTCAAACATATACTGTATCAACATGGTGTCACATGTCTAATATAAGATTTAATGCATCCGATTTCCATCTACCCAGGAATCTAATCTATCACTCATCCCCCTTGATGCACAGTAAGAGGCTATCCCAATTCGAAAGGAATGTCCTTTGAAACTATTGAAATCTAAATTACAAAACATGAGACTTTGCTTTAATACATTTGAAAATTCTTGCCTTGTGACTGCACCGTTTGGGGGGTAGCAAAAAAGGGGCCCATCACCCCTCCCTCTCATTTTCAAGTAGTGTTCTAATTCCTCAATAGGACAGTATTTTAAAGAACTGCAGGAATTAATTGTAAGGGTAAAAACTTGACCGCCTGAATGTTTATAATTTTGAAAGTGAATCAAAACCTTACTTGTGACATTTGTAAGACATGATTAGCAGTGCAAACTGATGTTATTTCTCCTATTCTGAGGAAGCCATGGAAAGCCAATAAAAACATTGCTTGAAATAATACTTTTTTATACATGTTTGATACTGTATGTTCTAGTGCATCACAAATTTTATGTAGAACTACTATGGTTATTGGTAAACGAATATCCATTGAAGGTCTTGTTTTGCGACAAGAACTTAATAGTTTTTGAACAAGGAAGCATGACGTATTATCAGGCAAGTTATTAATTCTATGTATACATACTATTGATAAAATAAATGACACAACAGAGGAGGCTGCCTGACCTTCAGCAAATAAATAAGAGATAAACAAAGCCAAAGTATCCTGACACAATGGAAGATAATTACTGCTATTAAATTTTTTCACAAAATTTCTATAAATAGACCATGTTTGTTTATATGCCTGAGTGGAAGCTGGTGCCAATGTTGGGGTCGACAGGTTCCTCAAGACTGGTCCTAAGGAGGTAATGCTGGCAGCTGAGGAATCACCATTGGTTCTTTGTCCAGCTAAGGAGCCAGTTGATGGAACTGCTGCACCTTCAAATGAGACAAGCAGTCACATAGAATATTTTCTTTGGAACCAAGATGCCTAGCTTGAGACAAAATGTTAGACTGCAAACAAATGAGCACTGACTCTCCTACGAGATACATTATACGTTTATCCTTAGACAATTGCTTGTTAATGATATGCACAAGGGCATACTTGTCGGTGTAGAAATAAATACACTTGTTTTTCAAAATATGACTCCACACCTTAAGAGCTAACACTATTGGATAAAATTCCAAGAGAGTAATATTAGATTTTTACCAATTATCATTCCAAGTCCCATAGAACCAGTGCCCACCTAACACTGTCCCATATCCAATAGATCATTAAGCACCTGTATACAATTCCAATTCATTAGAATCTACCCACCTATCTGGTAAGAAAACTGATCTACCATTAAATTGTTCCAAGAAGGCTAGCCAAGTATGCAAATCTGCTTTTACCTCTTTGTTTAGTCTAATGCGATAATATGCTCTTGTTATGCTAATAGTGGTATTCATAAGTCGCCTTAGAAATGCTCATCCTGGCAATACAACATTACAAGCAAAATTAAGAAGACCAATTACTGATTGCATATCCTTCAAAGTCATCTTTTTGGTTGGTAAAAGCTCCTCAATTGTATCCCTACATTTTTTAACTTTATCAATAGGTAGTCTTGCCTCCATCACCTCAGTGTCTAATTCATAACCCAGAAAAGTCATTACCTTGTCAGGACCGAATGTTTTATCCTTAGCCATAGGTATACCTATGTCAGCACAAACTGTTAAGAATGCCTCAAGTTTTTCGTAGCATCCTGTAGCAGATTTGTCAACAATTAGAAAATCATCTAATACATGAGTCATAAATTTAATACCTAATATTTCTTGAGCTATCCACTGAAGTGCTGTACTAAACCTTTCAAATATACAAGAAGAAGAACTGCAACCCATCTGAAGACATGTATCAAAATACCATTGACCTTGCCCTGTGAAACCAAAGTATTTGGACTGCGATGCATGTAAATTGATAATTCAAAATGCATTAGAAATATCTGTTTTGCAACAATATGATCCTTTCCCACACTGTTTAATGTTTTGAATAGCATCCTCTACAGAACAGTATTGAACAAATGACTCCTCTTCAGGTATGCCATCATTGACAGACTTACTTTCTGGATATGACAAATGATGTATCATACGGTACTCACCCTCTGTTTTCTTGCTAACTAGACCTAAAGGGGAACAATGTAAAACGGGCATTGGCTTTTCTTTGAAAGGACCCATAATTCTACCCAAATGTATCTCCTTCTCTAACTTCCTGCTGATAACCTTGTGTAAGTCCTGTGCTGATTTTAATGCAATATATTGTCGATTACCTATTCTATGCAGTTACCCAGTCATGCAGGGATATAGGAGCCATCCCTAAATTCATCATCATCTGTGGACTGCATATCGTGGATTTAATACCACCTTACCTGTCTGATCTTGTTCTTCCACTTTGATAGAATACTTACTTCTTTTTTTTTTTTAACAAAAAAAGCCATATCAACATATTGTTTTGACCAAATTTTAGATTTGATTTTATCGGAAACCCTTGTCTCTATTGGCACTGAGAGCTCACAACTCCCGATTTCTTACCTGCATTTTCTACAGGTGGGAATTCAGTACCCACAATCTGTGAACTGTGTTCGGTTACAACACTTGATACCAAACCTGAAATACCTGCATCCCCTGACTTATTCATTGTGTGACCATCCAACCCAGGAGGGCTAGCTGTTAAGCTGTTGCTTGCAGAGGTGGTAGCATTATTACCCCTTTCACCCCCATATTATGAACAGAGATACTCCCCTGATGTTGTAGCAATGGTTTTGTTCTCCGTGACTGACTTTGTTATGGTTTGGGTTAATGCAGCCAAGGTTTCAGGAGGTATACCGAGGGATGGAGTGCTGGTATCGCTTGCCACAGCATCAGTGGTGGTGGGCCCTCTTGTTTCCTTTTGGCCATGGTGTGGTCTTTTCGCCTGACTTGTTTTGGGCTGCTGGCATAATGTTGGTAAACCTATAGAATTGTAAAATTGAGGCAGAAGTACATTTCCAATATTTAACATAATATAGGCCTAAATGTCAATTGATCGGAAGTGCATGAGTCAGATATGATATACCGGTACTATGACCACGCATATGAGCATGTTAATACTTAAAAAATACATTATATCACCACTTGAATGCATCAAATACAAAGACGTATAGGCCAAACGTTAAATGTCAATTGACCAGAATTGCACGAGTCAGATCGTATAAGTACCTTGACCACGCATGTGATCATGTTAATACTTAAAAATACATTGTAATGATTGTATAACCACTTGAAAGCATGGAATACAAAGTGTACATCTGATAAAACCAACTTGAAAGTTGTCTAACCTGAGACTTTTTCCAACAGTCACTTTCCGTACTTTCCGTTAAATTACACCCTGTACCTATTACCAGGTTGGGCACACACCACCAAATGGTCATTTATCCCCCGTTTGGTGGTCAATCGCCCATATCGGAGTCGTATTTACTAACTAAATGGTGGTCTTTTTTATTCAAATCCAATTTTTATGAAAATAAAGCAAAGGCGCATTCGTATAGGCCTCGGGGAATTTTAGTAAACATATTCCTCGCACAATTAATACAGTTCGATCGATTTTCCATGTGTAATTTCTGTGGAACTTCGTAAAAACGATACCTACAGCTGTCCGTTACGACCGAACTTCTTGCTTAATCAATCAAAAAAAATATTTTCTTGTGTCTAGTTTAATAAAAATTCTATTTAGACCAGTGGTTTAACTTTTTAGAAGTTAACTTTCAATCGATCTTTGGATCTTCGTCTAAATAAATCTCTATAGAATCCCGTTAAACACGAGCTCCTCATACTTTACTGGTATGGTGGGCACTTATTGCTATAATATTCATTTTTTTCTTCATTTGAATGTAACATTTATTCTTTATTTACTTTTAGGATGAAGTTGCGATTTCTGTACGACCTTTTGTGATTTAGTATGCATATTTGGGATGAATTTACTATATTTAGTCAATAATTTTGAATAAAAGATTTACAAAGTGACAGTTGCAATTATTCTTGTTTTAATTCCAAGAGCATCGTTTTGAAGCAATTATTATATCATGATCTCACTGTATATTTTATTTTTATGAGGAATAAAGCCATCGCGTACAAAATAAAACGAAATAAAAGCAAATTCTTCTCTTTCCTTTTATTTCCTAATTGAAAATTGACACTAATGTGCCTCCGTAGTTAAATCAGACTTTTAACCCGGTTCGAAAAAGATCATCATTTTTTATTGGTTTAAATTATTTGATTGGTTGCCCGGATGATAAAAATAGAAAGTAAGAAACACGATCAACAGGTGCAACAACGTTCGGGAAGGAAAGAAAATTTCTTTTTAAAGTAAAAACACAGAAACGTTGTACTTGTTTACGTTGGTGACGATTTGGTCAAAAAATTGAACGACACTGCGCAAAAAACTCCGCGTTGAATTTCCGATTTTTTTTCCCACAGTACTGATAAATGTCTATATATTTTTTTTCCCCGAGTTAATATTATGCGCCATTTCACCCCATTCCACAGAATTGAACAAAACGGTTTTTCTCTCCCAAATGGTCAGTAAATACCGACTCCGATATGGACGATTGACCGCCAAACGGGGGTTAAATGACCATTTGGCGGTGTGTGCCCAACCTGATTACAGTTGATGACAAAATTTATCCCGGAAATATCACAATAAAGAATAGAACCAGTATTGTTCTGAAACAGACCGACATTTCCCGCACTACTGTACCAGCAATCACACCACCCATTGAGCGACTGCAGAAGCCATTAATCAACTTCTCTGGAACCGCTGCTGGTCAGTAAGGACTAGCAGCCACATAAACAGAACGCTGACATCAGTAATAAATCACCACTTTTGAAGTCGATTTACCTCGTACCGTGTCAAATCCCAAAGTAGGCTGTAGTGCCTTTACCAAAGACAACTACGCAATGTTAATTGTTTTTCAAACAAGCAATAAAACTGAACATGGTGGTCCTAAAATAATCAAAGCAGATTTAATTCACAAAGAAACGCCGTCCAAACACTCAAAATAATACTTTTATATAAAGCATCTATAAGCAATAAACCTAAAATGTAGAACTTGTTTTTTTTTTTTTTTTGTTTTTTATTTTTTATTTTTTTATTTTTAATTATTAAGCCACAATTCAAAACGAGTAACTTAGTAGGCATATTTAACGATTTTCCTTCACAGAAAAAAGGATAAATCCGGAACGCATTAATTAAAATACATTCCTGGATAAATCAAATAAAATCGATGGAAAAATCGCCAGGGTAAAAGATGAAACTAAAATGAAAAACCCCAAACGGGTTTAAACTGGCAAGCACATTGAATGCCTGAAACACATACTTAGGTCATGCCTATAGTACTGTAAAAGTCACAAAATTTTTAATAATGAATTTCAACGTAAAGGTTGAAATTAAAGTGAAAAAAGGCAATGATTGGCAAGCCAATATCTGATAAGCAGATTTAATTTTTTTTTTTTTTTTTTTTTTTTTTTAAATAATACACTGTAACTAAATAATTAATTTATAAAAACTGCCAAATTTAATTTTGTTACATGTACCGTATCCAAATGATTTTGAAGAAAGGATAAAAGTGACAATCTTGTTACATTTTCTCGAAAATCTATTTTCTCACTGAAATTAACGCTCCCATTATACTCCTATATAACTGTACATTCCCTTGTTTGTTCAGATGAACTCCGTCGGATACAAATTTCCGACTACAATCTCCGTCCCGGGGAGAAACAAAATAATTCCCGTGTTCCCAAAATACACAATAACCTAGTGATGGCAATGCATCTCTCAGTATTTCATTCACTTTGTCTGCTACATCATTGTACTCGAAATTAACCTTAAATCTTGGCAATAATTTGCAAACAATTATTTTCGCAACAATATAGCGGCGATGCATCACCGATACCATAGTTTCATTTTCTGCGGCCAACAATGTAGGATCTGTACTGAGAACGATGTCGTTCTCCCCGATCATTAAAACAACTACCTCGGGACCTAAAGCAAATACACTCTCCATATCCTTAGATATTATATCACGAACCTTCCTTCCACCCACACCCCTGTACAAAACGGAATGCGTTTTTTCCAGACCAAGATTTGCAGAATATCTAATGTCATCACCATGTTTCAAGAATTCGTGAAAACGACGCACAATTGAATGACCAAGAATGACAACCGAAGTTTTGCCCATTGAAGACATGATAAAATAATTTTACTCACCAAATACTTGATAAAATAAATAACAAACTTCAAAAAACGTCCGTCCTCCAAGGCTGTAGGTGGGAGAAGAGGCAGAGTGACGCACCGCGTGGCCAGAATTATAATTGCTTGATTTTTATTGGTCAATCTCTGCCTCTCCTAAGACATGAAACAAAATGACCATTATAATACATCACTGTACAATATTTCAGACTTGAACATTCAAGGAGGACACTTATTGATTACAATAAAAAATTTTAAGTAAACTTAAATTTATGTATGCTAAATGCTCAGTTGAGGGATGTACAACAGTGACATACATATAATTGGCACCTGGGTTTAAACTGACATTTTTCAATAGAGAAATGCCCATTAGATATATGCATGATATGTGTCAGCAGTTTTTGCAGAATTGCTGTCTTTAACAAACCAGTAGCCTCATTTCTGAGAACAACATACAAAAAAATTACAGGAAGTGGTTCAGATTCTATTCAATTCAGGTCTGTGGAACAATATGTGTCTAACCCCCTCCCCCTTGAACCCCAAGAATCTGCATCTACTAACATAGCAGATTAATAGTAAATCTTGCCTTATGTTTAGTTTTTTTAATGTTTTATATTTTATGATGAATAAAACTAGTTTCCCAAACATATTACCTTTTGTGAGTTTAAGAACCGTGAATTAAAATTTGAACTAAAGCGAATTTTACCTGAGTTAAATTACAAATCTTTATTTTTATTTTCCCACTTAAAGACACAACAGAAACTATCAATGACCATAAACTAGGCCCCAATTTAACATAGTGTTTTATTATATCCTTTTTTCCCCTAACTGCTTGACCATTGATCAATGCTCCTTCCCAACCAAAATACACAAAACAAATCACATCCACAGCCCCGTCCCGATATGCCTGCATTGACTGTAGCAATTTAGGAACCCTATAAATTTATTTATCTGGCCAAACTAAGTTACTCGAGTAAAATTGTAAAAGGTCAGGAAATTTAAGTTGCATAATCATATTTTAAGGTTCACTAACCCTCTAATAAGACAGATAACTCAATGGATTTAATGTACATATTCCTAATAATCTTGTCAAGTTAAAATGTCTTCTGTGACAATTTTATCCTGAAGCTATGCTAAAATTATCTGCCTTTCATTTTACCTAATTAATTAATTTATTTATTTATTTATTTTTTCTTTATTCACTTAGACTTGTATTTGTAGAATTGTATTTATATTTGAACCTAAAAGACCCTTATATGCCTAAAAATATCAAACAAGACCAGAAGCTTTTATTACATTGCAAGGAAACTCCCATGATGAAATTAGTTCCTAGTACTTCCTACATGTAAAATCAAACACTTTCCCAAACCTAAACGAGAAATATTCTATATAATGTGATAATAATCTGAATTACTGATTGTAATGCTTCAATCAAACTGATGTTTATGTCTCAAATATATTAAGTCATCATCCATGCATTCATTTTTACCTACCTAGAGTTTTGCCATTGTATGT